TATAGAAATTTCGTAGCACTCGCCTGGAATACAAAGTAATATGTCTGCGGGTTACTCTGGGTAATGCCCATTAAACCCGTTTGGCCATAACTCGAAGTGAAGCGAAGAAGGCGGCAAAAATAGTGAACATTAAAATCAAATAAAAATTTGTTAAATTGTTAAAATTCTGTAACGCAAACATGCGCTAGAGACGTGGCCATAAAATGCCCCGAAAAGAAAACCCATCCATAACTCTCGGCCAGCTCGAACCCAGAGAGAGGCATGTCTGGAGAGACGCTAAAGGCGGCGTTTTAGAATTGTTTTTGGCATAATTTCGGATGAGGCGAACAAGTGTGAAAAACGCGGGCCGAACAAACGAATGGAAATTCGGGAAAACAAATGAAAATCCTTTAGCGAGGATCGCCGAGAATTTCCATTTCTAATTCGAATTCAATGCGCATGCGCAAAGAGCTGGCAATAACATTTATTTATTTATGTATTTATGTATTTACTTATTTCATTTGCCTCCCATGTGAGCCGCCAGCAAAAATGGCTAAATACAGCTAGATTCAAATGCATCTCTATGTGAATGTATGAATTGTATGTGTGCATGCTTATGCATACGTGTATGTGTGTGTGTGAGTGTCTAATGGAATAATGAAGAGTAAAAGTCAGTGATATCAATTCAATATATCTAGCCTTTTTTTGCAGCCACTTACCATGGATCAGTTATGCAAAAGTCAATAGAAGTTTAGCTTGTATACATATTAAAGATGCAAATTCGGCTTTTTTTTCGGCTTATCGCATATTTTTGTAGCAGTGTAGGCAGATTTTACGCTATATAAAGGGAGGAAAGACAGCCGCAGTGATGCTAAGTTAGTTCAAAATCAAGTGTTTCACATAAAATAGATAAAACATATAAATTTAATAATTTATGTGCAAATATCTCAAACCCAAGGGCCAGTAGTCAGTGCTAAATCATAAGTTGATATTATTTTTATGTAAACTCTAAATTCTAATAAATAAATATATGTCAAATGTATATAGAAGTTATATGTGATATGATATGTGTATTTCAATTAGACTTTTAGCCAGATAAAGATAGCTCTTGCTAAGACCAAACATTAGCTTTATTATATTTATCCTTTCGCTGAGATAGTCCACAATATCTTTATTCATAGTAACAGTTATCAGTGTTGTCAATTTAGCTTCTATCTATTTAGATTGAGCCATAGTTTGCCCTAGAATATGACTATGAATAAAATTCATTCTAGGGTTAATTCTATCACATTTTCGCCAGCTCTTAACTGTTGTCCTCTCTTACGCACATGTCTAGCCTCTTTCAATATCAGCTATATATATCTGTGGAATACCAAGACAGCCATTTTCAGCTTGAACATGTCGAAGAACGTCGCCCGTTCCCCATATCCTTGTTGTGCGTGTTAATATTCCGATCAGGTACACCCGACTGGAGCATTTTCAATTGTTTTTATTTACTTTCCACATTTCCATTCGGCTTCCTCGAGCCTTTGAGCGGAGACCGACGAATAAATTTCGTTTCGATCAGGCGGAAGCGATTCCGTTTTTTTTTTCATGTTTTTTATTTCACTTTCGTTTGCATTTTGTAAATTACATATTTTATTTCACTTAACTTCGTTTGCTTCGATTTTTAATTAGGGCAACAAAGAGGCCGCTTACCTCCAGATCCCGAAACTACGATAAGAAGAATAAAACCCCAACCCAAAAAAGGGTACTTAAAATGGAGCGAGAAAATCGGATGGGTTCCCAGGCTGCATATTGATGATATAGTTTATAGATCTTGAGAGGTTGAAGAATTCCAAAATGTTGGCAAAACGTAAATTTCTGTTTTTAATAAAAAAGAAGAAAACGTTTTTTTTTTTTTTTTTTTTTTTGGTTAAATAAAGTTTTTATGGCTGTCATAGAATATAAAAAAAAATCAGTTTATTGTTTAGCATTATGAGCTAATGGAATTTATAAAAAAGGCCATCCGAAACATCTTCAGCAATTTAAAAAAAAAAAAAAAAAAAAAAAAAAAAAAAAAACTTTACGCCAATTCATATACTCACACAGCTACGCACACACGCATTTACACACACACTCACACATAGCTATGTACAGTTTAACATTCTCATGTTATCTTAACATTTCGGAGGGGTAATTGCTAGCAGCGTGTTCTTGTTTTTCGAACAAACCGTTTTAACAGCGTATAAGACTGACGGCTAACAGCGCATGACAGAGATCGAGAGAGTGACTGAAATAGCAGGCTTTTTATTTTCGAAAATGAGAGCGTCTGTTGCGCTGCTGCTGCCACAGTGTAGTAAGCATAAATGCGCTCACCAGAGAGTGCAAGAGAGACAGGCGAGCAACCTGTAAGAATTCACTGAGCGTGCAACGCACGCTGTATTCCTTGTTGTTGCTGTTGTTTTCGTTATGATTATGAGAGTCTATCAAAAAACATACCGTACTATGTGTCCGCCTCGTATCTGTATTGGCGTATCAGTTTGAGTATAATGGCAGATATGAAAAGGGCAGCTACATACACGACGCTGGCAGCGGCGGTTGGCGGTTGGCTGTTGACGGCGGCGCAAAATGAGCGAATATGAGCGTTATGAATTATGTATTGGTCTGGTACATAAACAAACCCTCACACTCTCACACACACATGCACGCTAGCTGAGATATGAGTGGGCAGGAGGCGTACTGTATACATTTCGCCGCGTCTTGTTGTTGGTTTATGAGTGCGCCGTTCGCCGTTTGCCGTTTTCTGTTTTCTTACTGGTGCGCAAGGTGGCGATTGGCTTTGGCTTTGGCGTCGACTTTTTTCTTTCTTTATTTTTTTTTCGCTGCGCTCGCTTCAACTTTTTTCGTTCCTTTACCTTAAGCTCGATTCGAACTCTCCTTCTCTATATGAGTATTTATTTTTAGTAGCTCTGCCTTGCCATGGGTTTTTTTTTAGATATGTACATATATGGGTTTTAAATATATGTATATAAATAAAATTAAATATTGAATCATTTTATTTAATTGGCAATTGAACAAATAAAGTTAGTAATCAGAGAGCCATCATTCATCAAATGTTTTTAGCAATTACTCAAAGCGCTTTGAAGAGTTCCTCTTGTATTTTTCAATTTTTGCAGCCACAAAAAAAGCATGAAAACAATAAGAATAAAACACAAAGAAAATTAATGTTTATATCAAAAACAGAACTCTCCCAGCTTATCAACAGCTGTCCGCAATTTTGAGTCACAAAAGAATTCCTTCGAATTTTAAGTGCAAAATTTTAATTGTTTCAACATTTTTGTGCAGTTAGTTTGAAACTATTCGCCCATTTTAAGCCCATAAAAAGCCTTAAATCGAACAATCAGAATATAATAATAATACAAAAAAAAACAATAAGTGGGAGTTACCCAAAGTTGTATAAAATAAAGAGCAACAACAAAAATGAAGTGAAACAGGAAACCAAACATTTTGATGAATGGCTCATAATACTCAGCGCACACACACATGTGCACACATATGCACACACATACATGACACACGCATACGCACAAAACGAAATTGACGAATAAGCGAAGCACCCAAAGCAGACGGGCGGACGAACGGTCCAATGAGTCGGGGGCGAACAATAGCAAAGAACCGAAAATCTTATAAAACCGAAATTAAAAAAAGCAACAACAGAAACGGCGCTCATAACTGCGCGCAAGAGAGACAGAGTGAGAGCGAAAGAGTGAGTGCGGCAGTGCCAAAGGTGGGAAGAGTACGCGCAACACACGACCGAAGCGCAGGCGTGCGTGGAAGCGAGACGGCAGCTGTAAAAGGGCCGTACATTTATAAGCGGGGGCTCACACAACCAGTTGCCGGGGCATATGAATTATGATAAATTATTAACCAAGACTGTGCGAGTGCGAGCGAGAGGGCAGCTCGTCAGACAGCAGACAGCAGACAGCGCACCCGAGTGCGCCGAGCAGCCGAATCAATGTACATACATACATACATATGGAGCTGTAGCTGTTAAAAACGCCAAGAGCACGCTTACCACAATCACAAAAACAATGGCGCAAAAGGTGAGCGAGCGAGCCGAAGCGGAAGGAAACATCAGAAGGAGCAGGGAGAGCGCTGTCGCTGCCTCTGCCTCTGCCTCTGCCTCTGCCGCTGCCGCTGCCAAGGCGAGCACCAACACAAACTTTGCTGCTGCAGATTTTTTTATTTTTTTCGTAACGTCAGCCGCGGCGAGTCTCTTTCGCTCTGTGCGTGTGTGTGAGTGTCTCATAATTTTTCGAACAAGTTTCATAAATGTCCGTTCAGCAAACAGGTAAGCAGCAGCACCAGAGACTGAGCATCCTGCGCTCGTGAGCGCGACAGGGCGAGTGAGAGAGTGTGAGAGTGAGAGAGAGAGCGCGCGAGGGCAGCGAGCTCAGCAGCGGTGAGAGGTTGATGGCAACAGTAACAGTAACAGCGACCATGGCAGCTCATGGGTGCAAGCAAGACAACAAAAGGCCGACTGTCGAGCAAAATTTAATAAAAGTTATGATGAGAGGGAAATACGTCTGTGTGTGTGTGAGCGCGCTGGAGAGGGTGTGTGTGCAAGTGGGAGCGAGAGCGTTTATATATGAAAAATTATATGAAATGTGAGCGAGTGCGCGTCTGAGATATATATACGTGTGAGTGTGTGTGTGAGAGCGTATAAGGTGGGTAGGTTGAATGAATGTCAGGATAAGCCAGTTGCCATGTTGTTGTTGTTGCTGTTGGTGGCAGTTATAATAAAAATGTTGCACACACACACACGTAGCCATGCATAGGTAGAGCGCATGTAAAAATATTGATAGTAAACCGGTCGCGTCGTCGTCGTCGCTGCCCGAAGCAACAACAGCAGAAACGACGACAGCGCCGCTGCGCTCGTGTATTCGTATTCGTGCCTCTGTGTGTGTGTGTGTGTGTGTGCCTTAAAAGTATCTCAAAGATATTGTTTGTGTTTTGTGTCAGTGTTATTTTGACGCGCGTGCTGAACGTTCGTGCCGCAGAGAGACCAAGCGATTCCGCCACTGAGCTAACACACCGACCACTATTCCCGTTTCTATACAAAATACTACAAATATTTAGCGAGTGCGCGTACAATTTCCAAATTCCAATCAGATTGTGACAAAGTGTCCATAACAATATATCGCCCAATCCCATATATATATATGTATGTATGTGTGTGTGTATATGTAGATATGTGTTGAGTTCGAGTTGAAGATGAAACTTGCAGTAAATTGCTATCGAAAAGCCGACGGAAAAACACAATCGTGCAAATAATTGAAGCAATCCAATTCAGGAAAAAAAAAATAGAAAAAACTGACTGATCAGCAGGCTTGAACGTTGCCGTTATCGTTCCCATTACCGTTACCGTTACGCACAGTGCGACAGGGCGAGCGACCATGGGTCGAATTACACGCGCATGACATATCATCCATATTATTTGGCCAACTGGCGCCAAAATACAGAACACACTCTTCTAATTTCCACCCATTCCAACACAATGTTTGATACGTGCTAAGCAAGGAGCAGACCAAGAAGCAGAAGTAGAAGAAGAAGACGAAGCGGCAGCAGCAGATATAATAGAAATTCAATTCAATTCAAATCCAAAACAAAACCAAACAAACGACAAATTCTGCATTCTTGATAAGACATCACTTGCCCAAAGGTTTTTGTGTGCAATGCGTAGTGACTTCAAGGATAATCACCAGGAGACCATCAATAAAATGATACAATTTGGTACCGTTAAATATGGCATTGTCAAACAGCTGAAGGATCGCGCCAGAAGCGCCGAGAAAGGTGAGTTACAAGAGCTTGGAATATTTTTAATAGAATAGAGCGAAATACTATCCAATACTATCTGAAGTATACGTCATATAGAGAGCTACTTATATCTTTGTGTAAGTTTTATGTTCGCATTCCTGTTTTCGACAAATTGAATCGAAACTAATGAAGTTTTTATATTTTAATTAATATGCTGATTTCGATGATGCTTTATAGATTCCATAAAAAGCCCACTGAATAATTATTAATGTTTATGCATTTATTAGCTTTGTCCGCGGCTAATGGTAACAGTTATGGCCACTACTGTTAAGGCCGTGGCCAACTCCAAAAACACGCTAATCAAGCAATTTGTGCATATCAAGAATTTAGAGCTTATTTGGATATTAATGCCGAAATGCGAATAATATGTGGAGTGCTTACAGAAGTAACTGTAGTTTATGAGCAACATTAATATTAATCATTTCGCTTAGCATAAAATTAATCAATTTGGTGTCAAATGAAGCCAAAGATTAAGTCAGAGCGAATTGCTTAAATGCGCTTCGTTATGTAAATCGAAAGGTGCTTTTAAGCCAAGACTCGAAAAAGGCTATATACATATATATACATATGTTTATAGATATACATATATATTTATAGATTAAAGCTGCATTCATTTAAATCATATTGCTGAAATCCAAATTGATTTGTATTAATAAAAAATAAGCAAATCATTTTTAAACTCGCATCAAGCAAAAAGTTTTAGAGAGAAAGGGGTGGAGCATGTAACATGCGAGCGAGCGAGAGAGAGGGAGATAGATAGTCTGTGTGTAAGAAATATAGTGACAAAAGAAGGCTTTCAAGGCACTTAAATAAAAATTTTATCGTTTCCCAAAAAAGAAAGAAAAACTGGAAATGACATAAATTCAAATTGTAATATTTTGAGAAAAAAAAAAAAAAACAAAACTGTTGCATATATTAACAACCATCGAAACACTAATATTTATTTATGTTGCGGACATTTCTAAAAATTTTCAACACTTGGCTACCATTTTTTTCCGTTTCATGTTGATTTTTTTTTTATCGGAAAACGCTTTTAAGCGGTCCAAATTTCCAGTTACAGTTTTATTTATTTTTTTTTAATTTATTTATTTTTAATTTTATTATTTTCTATTGTGTTTTGGTTTGTTCAAAAATGACAAATTTGTTAATTAACCCAAAACTGGTTCAGTTATTTGTTGATTCTGTTTATGTTTTAGTCAGTTTTTGGTTTTTGGGTTCGTTGAGAGTAGTCTATCGACTTTCTACTTTATGATTGTATAATAGACCATTAATGATCATTTAAACACACTGAAATTGTACTAAAAGCCGCCGCGCATCAATATATTATTCGATTTTTGATTAAGGGCCTTCAAATGATGCATCATCAGACATTTTCGGGCATTATTCATACGGCTGCAGGTGTTTCGCCTCTATGGCAAAACATGCTCATTTTTCTTGGCTAAGCTTGAACTGAAATATATAGAATTTTGTGGGGATTTATCAATTTTAGCGCGTGCTGTTATACATATGAATATGTATACCCTATAGATCTCTATACATATATTTATTTATACATTATATATCATTTGGTTAAATTCTATTTCTGCTGAGCCTTAATAAATATATGCACTCATTAGTCTGGCATCATAAATTAGACAAATATCGAAATAGCAGAAAATAGTTTGAAAAAATATAATTTGCTTGCTCACATAATGAAGGGGTATTTAGATTTTTTTTCGGATTTTAAAGTATTGAAACAATCGAAATATTTAAATGCTAAATTATTAATATATTTATGAACTGATATATTTATATATTAGTATACTGAAATATTGACAAATTGATTTAAATAAATATTGAAGCTTAAAACATTGACATGTTAACATATTGTAACATTGATAAGTTGGTATATATAAAAATTGATATATTGATGATATATAAAAATTTATATATTGATATACTCAACTATTTTTTAAGATATTGATAAGTTTAAATATAGAAATATTGGCATATTGGTGTATTGAAATATTGACATATATAAATATTGACACATTTATACATTAAAAGCTTGATACAATATTTTATATATTGAAAATATTGAAATATTTATATATTGAAAATATTGAAATATTTATATATTGAAAATATTGATATTTATTGAATATTTTAATATTGAGATATTGAAACATGAAAATATTTGAAATATTGAAATAGTTGAATTATTTGACTATCGAAATATTGAATTATTAAAAGTTGTATTATGAAATATAGATATATAAATATTTAAGTATTGAAATAGTCGTATATTTTTGTCTTATAAAGATCTACAGTTCCTCTTCAAATGTGTATATCTCTATAGATACGTTTCTCATTCTAGTATATTATTAAACTATAAAAAAATTAATAGATAGAAACTCTCTATCATAGCTAGATGACGAAGATCTTCAGATACTTGAGCATCCGCTGAGAACATGAATCAGACGAGTAACTCCATTTGGGTATACTCCATCTTACAGCACATTAGATCATAGCATAACAAAGTCTTAGATCACTCTAAAACTCCCCCACAGATAGTTCTATAAGCTGTTACAGGCTCCGCCCCTCTCAAAGCTGGACAAATCAAAGAAAAAACTTGAATTTTTAAATTGGTTTAATGACTTTGAGTGCTCGAGCGTGTGTTATGTAGTCAGTGCTCTGACTTATGATTGATATATGGATCAAGTACAGCAGAAATATGTATTCGCTTTTGATATGCAATTCGTATTATTTGTTGGAGCCGAGCAAAAGTCAATGACAATTAATTATTTAATTATTTTTATTTATGCGCTCCTCCTTCTGTTTTTGTTTTATTTCATTTATTTTGTGATATATTTCCATTTTGGTGCTGCTTCAAGTTCCGTAGGCCAATTTTAATGAATTCATTTGTGGTACGTCTTCTGCCTCTTCTTGTTCTTCTTTTTACTTATGTATGCTTGAAATTCATATAAATGAAATTCAATTTGAACCGAGTGTCAATTTCATGCCGAGCTCGTGGAATCCGCAGCGCAACGGGCGATCGACAATGGACTTGGATATTATCAAATTATGCAGTATGTGCTACATACTCGTACAATGTATCTTCAGTGTCGCAGTTTCTGTTGCTTTCAAGTTGTTTTGCATTTTCTACATGGCTGCACAACAACAACAAACAACAAACAGCACAAAAAAAAAAAAAAAAAAAAAATAGAAAAATCATTGACTTGCACTCTATGTACCTACGTATATAGCCCGACTCATTTGCATATTGAATATCATGATGGAATAATTGAAGCGTTCGTCAATGTAAAAACGTCAATGTAAAACAATAAATGAAAATGTAGAAAACAGCGAAACTAAGTTGAACCAAACTGAACCCTAGTCTGTTTCCAGTACGGTATTTAAATGAATTCAGCGTTCCCCCACACCTACAATAATTGATTTGGTTCAAGTCAAATGCTTAACCAAACACAATTTCTCACACTGATTTGAGGTGCCAAAATATTTGCCGCTCAACAACTAATATAAATTGATGCAAACATCATTTGACACTGGGCTAAACTTTAAATCGGAAATTTTGTTGCTAGATTTTAGAAAAGTTTTGGCATGTTTTTGTTTTTGTCTTTTCTTCTGTATTCTTTTGTATTTTATTTGAATTTAGTGCTTTGCTCGGGTCGCACAAATGAATTTATGGCTTGACTTAATCCACCTTGGAACAACTTTGTGCAGCTCAATAGAATTTATGTCGTCACTGCAAATTGTTTTCTCTCAGAATACATATGGATAATAATGAAATTTCATAAAAATACAAACGAAAAATATATGTATGTATGTTGGCTGTATGAGAAATGAATGCAGTTCGTTGTCTTGGCCAAGACGATAAACAAAATTTGTTGGCAATTGCATAAACGACTTAGCCATGTTCGATTCGATTTGTTGACAATTTTATGGGCATCATAATACGATTTGCTGTTACATTTTTACGGCCGCTTGTCAGCTGGAACAAAGCGACCGCCTCTCGATTTTACGGCGCCCATTAAACTTAATTTTAATTAATTAAAACAACATACACTTATCAGTTATAATTATAATTATATATTTTTTTGTTCTCTTCTTCTGCTTTTTTGCTTATTTCGTTAAGCATTTTCGTTTGAACCCGCTTCAAAAATCCAGTACAACAGAGTAATAATATTTATTTATTTTTGTTTTTTTGTTTTTCGGCACGTTAACGAGACGCGACACTTGAAATCTTTTCGCAGTTGCATTGGGCGGGCGGCAAATCAAATACAAAAATGTATAAAGCAATAATGAGAGTTATAAATACAGATTCCCAAATGAGGAACAGCGCTTTCAGATCCCATCGTCATCAGCGTCGTCATCGTAATATTCGCTTTAAAAATAATAATTATATTAATGCGATCGATATGCAAATCAACTGAGATAGCGAGCCGTTCAGCCGCTCAGCCGCTCAGCCGCTCGGCCGAGACGTTGCTATTGCGAGCCTGTTGTAGAAAACTCGCTCGACTCGTTTTGATTTGTGCAGAAATATGCTTTATTATAGCCTGAGTTTGAGTCCGAGCTTGAGTTGGCTTTGAGTCGAGGCGAGCGAGGCTGCGAATGGAGACTCATCTCGTTTCGTGGCTCTGCTTATCATAAATTATGTTTTATGGCCGCTGCGCATGCGAGCTAAATCTTCTTCTGGCTCGCTCAATATTGAAGATATAGAACAGAAACAAACCCAAAATCGAAAACAAAAAACATTTGTTTCACTGTCTTTCATTTGGGCCTTTTGGACCAGCAAATGTCAGCTGTTTTCTTGTTGCTTTCGCACTCTGATTGAAGGCAAAAAGTTATGTTCACAACAGGTGAGAATCGGCTGGTGAGCAACAGCAAATTACTAATTGGTTTCCAAAAACAAGCATTGACGAAGTGGCGAACGGGCCAACTGGCTGACTCGACAGCCACAAGAAATGTAATTGCATTTAGTTAGCAGCAGAAGCAGCAGCAGCAGCAGCAACAACAACAATAACAACATCGCCGCATTGCAATGAACAATTGCTAACGATTAAGTCATATATGCGACATTGCAATGGTCAGCAGCAGCAGCGGCAGTAGCGGCGGCGGAGCTGCATATAAAAAAGGAAAACATTGGCTGTAGCACTGGGCAGCAGGTGTGGGGCATGCGGGGGAGTCTTACAACTAAACCAGGTAGCAGTAGCAGCAGCAACATGTTGCCAACAGTCCCGGCTGCTGGCAGCGACAACAAGTTATTGTTGCTGTTGCCATTGCCAAGTGTGCACACTGGAGCCAGCATCGGCGAAACATAGCAAGAACTATTGCTGGACATGTCATAGAAAGGCATTTCACGGGAATCACCGCAGAGCAGAGCACGAACAGTAGGAGATTCAGTTAACACAAAAATATATTCAATACATATGCATTCAGATATCAGGCGATTTATGCACAGATAGACTTAAATTGCCATAAGAAGGCATTTCATAGAAATGCAAGTGCGATTAGTAACGCATATTAAATATACATATATAATATAGGCAATAATTAATAGGGATATATATAGATAGTAATGTTAAGCAACACCAAAATACATATTTAGTAAATTTAAAGACATCTCTTCGTTCAGAATGCTTCAAATTTGTATAAAAATTGAAATGAACATATTTGAAGAGAAGCTGTCAGATAGTTAGATATTTTGATATTGATACATTATACATTATACTTCACATTGTATTCATATGTATTAAGGGAACAAAAAAATACACATAGACATAAATATTCACAATAATAATAATAATAAAATAATACAAGTATAATTATTACAAAACAATTTCCCAATAAATGAACCTGACTTGAAATTCTAATCATTCGTTGAATCTTCACATAAATTCGTGCAAATTTCCCATCGTATTCAGTTTCCGTCTCTGTCTTGAGGCTGTCAAACTAATTTCAAAGATTTTCAATGCGCATAAGTAAATACAATTGAAATATAAATTTAATTTCCATTTTGCTTTGGTTCATGTAAAACTGATGTTAATTTCCATTCATGTGTGATTTGTGTGTGTTTATTTCGGCAGACATAGCAAGTGATCAGGAGGATAATGGCGCCTGCTCGCCGCTGACGACTGCGACGGCCAGCGCCAGTCCGTTGGGCAACAGTCCGTGCCCCAGCCGCAGCAGTCCGCAGCCTCGGAGCGAGGACGAGGCGGAGCGGGAGACGGCTGTGCCGGCAGCCGGGAAGCAATTGGAGCTGGAGAAGACAGCAGAGCTGGCCAACGAGGAGCGGCTAGAGGATAATGCGTATGAGACAATCGCAGATCATAATCATAACAACAACAACAACAACATCATGACTAAGCCGCCCGTTGAGCAGGAGATGGAGACGAACGCGAACGCGAACGCAAATGCGAATGGCTCGATGCCGAACTCACCCACAGCAGCGAGCTCAGCGCTGGAGGAGGAGGCGCCGGCGGCGGCGGCAGGTGGCCAAGCCATATGCCCCGAAAAGGAGATGAGTGTGGATGTTGAGATGCAGGAGTCGGCAGCGGCAGAACGCAAGGTCTCGAGCACGCCGCCAGCGAGCAACGCTGCGGATGGAGCCGCGGCAGCAGCGGCAGCTCAGCAATTCGGCGCCACGCCTGTCACCCTGGAGGCCATACAGAACATGCAGATGGCCATTGCGCAGTTCGCGGCCAAGACGATTGCGAACGGCGCCTCCGGAACGGACAACGAGGCGGCCATGAAGCAGCTGGCCTTCCTGCAGCAGACGCTCTTCAATCTGCAGCAGCAGCAGCTCTTTCAGATCCAGCTGATTCAGCAACTGCAATCGCAGCTGGCCCTCAACCAGGCCAAGCAGAACGAGGACGAGCCCGACGAGGAGCTCGAGCCGGAGGAGCGCGAGGACGGCGAGACAGACACCTACGAGGAGGAGGAGCGCATCGCCGACATGGAGCTGCGCCAGAAGGCGGAGGCGCGCATGGCCGAGTCGAAGGCGCGGCAGCATCTCATCAATGCGGGCGTGCCCATGCGGGAGCGATCTCGATCCCGATCCACCTCGCCGGCGGCCTCGTCGCTGTCGACGTCGTCCTCCCAGAAGCGCCGGCGCACAGACGACGGCAGCGCCAAGCCGGCCAGCGGGCAGAGCGCGAAGCTCTTTGGCGAGCAGGACAGCACGCAGGATGCGCTCTCCAAGCTCAAGGAGATGGAGAACATGCCACTGCCCTTCGGCTCCGATCTGGCCTCGAGCATCATCACCAACCACGACGACTTGCCGGAGCCCAACTCCCTGGACCTGCTGCAGAAGCGCACCCAGGAGGTGCTCGACTCCGCCTCCCAGGGCATCCTGGCCAACAACATGGCCGACGACTTTGCGTTCGGCGACAAGGCCGGCGAGGGCAAGGGCCGCAACGAGCCGTTCTTCAAGCACCGCTGCCGGTACTGCGGCAAGGTGTTCGGCTCCGACTCGGCGCTCCAGATCCACATTCGCTCCCACACGGGCGAGCGGCCCTTCAAGTGCAATGTGTGCGGCAGCCGCTTCACCACCAAGGGCAACCTCAAGGTGCACTTCCAGCGCCACTCGCAGAAGTTTCCGCACGTGGCCATGAACGCGACGCCCATACCGGAGCACATGGACAAGTTCCATCCGCCGCTGCTCGATCAGATGTCGCCGGACAGCTCGCCGACGCAGTCGCCGGCTCCGGCGCCCGGTCTGCCGCCCACGTCGACGTCCGCCCTCACACAGATGCAGTCCTCGATGTCGTTCGGCTCGAGTGCTGCCTTCCCGGGGCTGCAGGGCATGTACCGCCCGCCCATGGAACTGTTGAAGTCTCTGGGCGCGGCTGCTGGCAGCGCGGCAGGACTGCCGCATCCCTTCTTCCCCCAGATGCCAGGACTGGGTGCGGCACTGAAGCACACGCAGCAGCAGCAGCAGCAACAACAACAACAACAGCAGCAGCCAAATCAGGAGATGCCAACGGATCTGCGCAAGTCCTCAGGTCCGAGCTCGCCGCATGAGGAGGAATCCGAGCACATTCAGGTGGCCAATCTGCCAGTGAAAACGGAGCTGATGGAGGAGGAGCGACCGGAGAATGCAGCCGAGCAGCAGGCAGCAGCTGACTGCGCCGATTCGGACCCAGAGCCCGAGCCACTGCCGCTTGAGGTGCGGATAAAGGAGGAGCGTGTGGACGACGAACAGGAGCAGGAGCAGGAGCAACAGCAGGGGCGGGAGCAAGAGCAGGGGCAGGACCAAGAGCGACTGCCCCAATCGGAGGCGCTCAGCCGGCGCACGCCCACGCCTTCGGGCTCAACTGCCGCACAGAGCCCACCGCCCATGCACCACCGCCACCATCATCACGCTCACCCCCATTCCGGCGCAATGCCCGCCTACCCGCCCGTGGTGCAGCCCATCCAGCCGCCAGGCATCCTGCACGCCCACTGCTCGCCCAGCTCGCAGTCGCATCTCGATCAGCTGCCGACGCCCGGACAGCTGCCGCCGACGATGGCTCAGCGCGAGGAGTTCTTCGCGGAGCGGTTTCCCCTGAACTTCACCACCAAGACGCTGTCCCCGGAGCACCACTCGCCCATACGCTCGCCCGCCGGCCACGCGCATGCGCACATACCGCGCTCGCCCTTCTTCAATCCCATCAAGCACGAGATGGCCGCCCTCTTGCCACGCCCACACAGCAACGACAACTCGTGGGAGAACTTCATCGAGGTGTCGAATACCTCGGAGACGATGAAGCTCAAGGAGCTCATGAAAAACAAAAAGATCACCGACCCCAATCAGTGCGTCGTCTGCGACCGGGTTCTCTCCTGCAAGAGTGCGCTCCAGATGCACTACCGCACCCACACGGGCGAGCGGCCCTTCAAGTGCCGCATCTGCGGCCGCGCCTTCACCACCAAGGGCAACCTGAAGACCCACATGGCTGTGCACAAGATCCGGCCGCCCATGCGCAACTTCCACCAGTGCCCCGTCTGCCACAAGAAGTACTCCAATGCGCTGGTGCTGCAGCAGCACATCCGCCTGCACACGGGCGAGCCGACGGACTTGACGCCCGAGCAGATCCAGGCGGCCGAGATTCGCGATCCGCCGCCCTCCATGATGCCCGGACACTTCATGAACCCGTTCGCAGCTGCCGCCTTCCACTTCGGGGCGATGCCAGGTGGAGGAGGTCCTGGCGGTCCGCCCGGAGCCGGTGGCATGCCCGGCGGCCCACACAACGGCGCCTTGGGCTCGGAGTCGTCGCAGGGCGACCTGGACGACAACATGGACTGCGGCGATGGCGACGACTTCGACGATGCCTCCTCGGATCACCTATCCAACAGCAACGATCCCACGGCCGATGAGCGCCCGCGCTCGGGCGACGACTTCAAGTCGCTGCTCTTCGAGCAGAAGCTGCGCATCGATCCGACGGGCGTCGTGAACATCAACAGCCATCAGCGCCCCCACTCGGCGGCCAGCAACGCCAACTCCATTGGCTCCGCCTCGGCCTCGCCCTCTGCCCCGACCAGCCCGAGTGAGCAGCCGAAGCCGAGCTGCTCGCCTGTGCGCTCCATCTCGGAGACCTCGCAGGGCGCCCTCGACCTGACGCCACGCGCTGTGCCCCCGCCGGCCGCCTCCTCCAGCTCGCGCTCCCCGCTGCCGCCTCCTGCCGAGCGCAAGGAGAAGACAATCAGCCCGCTCAGCCAGCAGCCGCCGGTGCGCAGTCCGAACGGCCCCGCCTCGCTGCTCTCCGCGCAGCTGCCGCCTTCGGTGGGCATCGACTGCCTGCCGCCCGGCCTGCAGCACCACCTGCAGCAGCAGCACCAGCATCTCATGCAGCAGCAGGCCGCAGTGGCCGCCGCAGCAGCCGCCCAGCATCACCACCATCAGATGCAGCAGCATGCGGCTGCCCTGCACCAGCATCAGGAGCATCTGCGTCGCGAGGCGCAGGAGGCGCAGCAGAAGGCCGCCGCAGCCGCTGCCGCTGCAGCAGCAGCAGCCGCCGCCCAGCGTCAGGCCTCGCCACAGCCCGCGCCCCGCTCCGGCGAGTCCGCGGTCAGCGGCCCGCCCGCCCCACCGAATCCACTGATAACGGCGCGGCCACCCTTCGGCATGTTCCCCAATCTACCGATATTTCCGCCCGCCACCACGCAGAACATGTGCAATGCGATGAACCAAATCGCGCAGTCCGTGATGCCAGCCGCCCCCTTCAACCCGCTGGCGCTCAGCGGCGTGCGCGGCAGCACCACCTGCGGCATCTGCTACAAGACATTCCCCTGCCACTCGGCGCTCGAGATTCACTACAGGAGCCACACCAAGGAGCGGCCCTTCAAGTGCAACATCTGTGATCGCGGCTTCACAACTAAGGTATGTATGGGATAGATGTGGGCAGTTGGGATTGGGATTGGGATTGGGATGACTACACCGATAACAAGAGATCTAACATCCGTCTTTCTGCTCTCTCTCTCCCCCCTCTCGATTCTGTTGCAGGGTAACCTCAAGCAGCACATGCTGACACACAAGATTCGCGACATGGAGCAGGAGACCTTCAGAAATCGTGCAGTAAAGTATGTAAGTCTTCCAATATCACAAACACACACACACACACACGTATACACATTCGATATCAATATCAGATTCCGAAAAGGAATACTGGTATTCAACACACCCAAATCAATTCATACGATATATGTATATTCATACGATATTTCCCTTCGCTTGATCCTTCCCTTTGCAGATGAACGAATGGAGCGACGATCGAGAATAAGTTAATTAATTATCGATAGATTGATCAACAGTAATCCAAATAACGGCCCCTGGCCGTGAAAATAGACTCTCGCAACAATATGATCTCATGCTGTGTTGTGAAGTGCGAGTGAGTGCAAAGTGTGGATGTGGATGTGGATGTGGATGCGCAACGTTGACTACAGTGGGTAAGGCGGCTGGCTACAGTGGCCACTCACTGCTAGCGAAAGGAAAAAGTCGAGTCCTCGAGAGTACGAGATCCATGGGGAGCAAAAGAGCAAATTCTATTAATTGTTTTGAGTTAGCCTAAAAATAAGGCGGGGCATGAAGTGAAAGCAGGCCTCTGATCGATCGCCTGTGATCGCCTGTGATTTTCCTTTCATGATTTCTTTTGCCATGATTTCCCAAATTTTCATTGAGCGATTGCAAAGCTAAAGAAATCATCTTCGAGACGACAGCAAAACACAAACAAACTACAAAATGGCAACTGAAACGTATCCAAAGATGCATCAAAAGCAAAGAGAGAAAAACAATATGAAAACGCCGCTGGATTGCTTTGAAATGAGACTGATAGCGTTTCAGGCTGACAACCTAATATATAACCCTATGTATATGATATATGATATGAAATGCGCCGAGCAAGATCCGAATCGAAACCAATTGAAGGCGTAGTTAAATCAAAATTCGAATTTAAAATCTACACCTAAGGTAACTGTAATCGTAGCGTAATGCCTAATAATAATACAATATATAAATCACAGAGTACATACATACATACATACATTTGCGAAATGTACTCGATGCCTAAGTCCAAACATATTACATCTATATTTCAAATGTGCAATAATAATATGACACGCTATAAATTTAGTCTGGCTTTTGTTTCCTACGTTCGAAATGAATAAAATTTCATTTGACTTTTATTTTATTTTTTTTTTGTTTTGTTCTTTTTAATCACAATGAATCCAGGCAGATAATTTTAACTTGCGTTGCTTCGGTTTGTCTTGAAAAGAAAAACAAAAAAAAAAAAAATGATATATTAAATATTAAAAAAAAAAAAAAATTAATTATAAATAAATACAAAAACAAAAACAGATAAATTGTGATACTAAATGTTAAATTTGTTGGCCAACTGGATAAACAGCCAAAGCCAAGTTGATGTAAAATGCTTTCCATATCACTTATATAACAACTGGCAAATGATGTAAAACAAAACAAAAAGAGAGAAAAACAAAAAACGAAAATTTAAATACCTAAAATTCTATATATAAATGGAGATACTATATTTAACATTCTTAGTTAATTTAGTTGGTAAAGCGCAACGTATTCAAGAAAAAAATGAAAAAAAAAGAAGAAAAAAAAATGCAAATATATTATATAATATCTTATCATTTATTAATTAACTTTGTACGTAAGTTAAGTTGATAACTGGCATAAATTACGATATATATACATACATAATTCATATAGATACAGAAATGTATCTCGATCTGTTTGTAAGCATAGTCTCGTAATTTATTACCCATGGAATGAAATACAAAAAAAAAACGAAGAAAAAATCATAAAGCAAACGAAATACAAATAAAAAGTATACACAAAGTAAAGAAAAAAAAAAAAAAACAAATAAAAAATATGTATTTAATTTATGAAAAATTAATAAACCGACTGTGTTTTTATTTTGCCCAGTTAAGAGCAGCATTCGATACCTCAGCGTTTGTGTGTGTGTGAGTGTTGACGTCTCCGTCGCTTATCGAGATCGTGGCGAATGTTCTGGGAAAACGGAAAAAAGTAAGCGTTCAATTTCGTGGTAAAAGGCCATGAACCTCCAATAATGGCCCATGAATGTTTAGATATTGTAATAAAAATGATTAGTCAAGTTTATTATCGTCATAATCTTTTAATTCGAAATCGAAACGGAATATTGATAGCCAGAGCCAGAGCCACAACTCGAAAGTGCGGAGTGGCCTCATGAGTCCGATCCAAATTCAACAAATATTTGTTGTCCAAAAAAAAAACTTTATATTTCATCTATTTTTATTTTTTTTTTTGGTCACAAATTAATTTATTTTCCTATTAGTTTTTGACCTTTTTTTTTGCTATTATTATTTGTTTTTTATTGTCATTCCGCAGCCAGTTGCTGCGACTCGTTAATCAATTTCTTGTTGACAACGGCATATCATATTTTTTTATAAGGCAATCGCTCGCTGCTTGTGTGGATGTGAGAATACTAAAAGCATCTCGGACTTGAGTTATTTCATTAATACTAATTTCGTATTTTAGTATACTTTGGTAATTAATAATATTTGACTTTCAAGTTCTCAAGAAATCGAATAAGAATTATTACATTTGCATCAGAGATTCTATGAAAATAGGTATGACGAGACTCTTGATCTCTCTCTCTCTCTCTCGTTTGAGTAGTGATGCATTAGCTAACGGAATGAGGTTCTCTTCTGCTCATTAACAAGAAATATATCATGTCGACGAATCCTTTTTACACTTTTGAGCTCCGATAAATGTAGTTTTTTTTCCGTTTTTTTTACGACGCTTCCTAATGGATTTACCACACGAGTGAACTGTGTAAATGTCTTATTTATGCTTGCTTATAAAGCAACATAAAATTTTACTGGCAAATAAAGTTGGCAGTTTACTGGCTTAGCAACAACAGCAACAGCAGCAGCAGCAACAGCAGCAACAATAATAACAAACAACTAACAATCGGCTGATAACTATTAAGATAGAAACGTTGCCTTATTTGGGCTGCGGCACTTGGGCAAATCCTTGAAAACGTTTTGCAATAAATGCAAAAATCCTTACAAATAATATGAGAATTGCTATGGTCGCCGTTTGAGCTTATCGCAGGCATAAAAATACATGCACCCACACACACACACTTACATACACTCGCACACACTCACACACTCGACACCATCAAAACAATCAAAACAAGAAAAATTCACAAATTGCGCGGCTTCAGCTACGCTTCTAAACAGCAACAGTAAACGCTCCCCCGATCCGACTGATTGTCAATATTGGCCCAAAGTCATCATTGCGGCCATACAGTGGGCCAAGAACTGTAGGTAGGTGAGCAAAATATATATAGCTATATATAGAAGGAACAAAATACAGATCCTTTGCAATAGATTAAAATATTATTTTTAAAATTATCAAAATATTTTTATTTATATGTATTATATTTTATTTACTATACTTTAATATTTATATATTTACTATATATTATTACTATATTATATTATATATATTATAGTATTATATTTTTTCTTTACGATCAAGGCTTAACTTTATAATATCTTCTAAGTATTTGGAGACAATGTGATTTCAAAATTTAATTAAAATAAATTTTCCACTGAATAAAATCTATTGAACCTCATTATAAATAAAAGAAATAAAAACTAAATATTAAATTAAATAAAAAACATGTATATCTATCTTATCCAATCCACTGTAAAATATCTAAAACTCTTGCAACATTTTATGCCCTAACATGCCCGAATCTCCCCACTGTGCCACTAGACAATACAGCTCCCAACAAGCGAACATAGACAACAACACTTTAATACGAAAAATCTAACGATTTGTTTGCACTTTTATTATTTCCTGCTGCTAAAATTGTCACAAAATAAAAATAACAAACGAAAATCAGAAACCGAACGGAACATGGGCCGCAGTGCAGCAACTCCCCACTGTAGAGTCGCCGCCTGTGCCGCCTCCTGCCGCCGCAGTTCGGCTGCTAAGCTCCTTAATGGTTTTGGGGTATCTGTATCTATCTGGCAGTGTCAGTTTGGCACATCATTTGGCCGACACACAATGGCAGCGGCTGCCTTTGAGTTGCGCCTGCATTTTGATGGCGGCAGATTCCGAGGTACTGCCTGGGATATGGATATGGTGGCCACTTATCAGGCTGCCTCGGCGCAGCAGCGTCGTCTCAGCTAGGCGGCGGTTGACATACGCTCGCATTTATGCAACATTATGCACAGGATTAGCTGGACAGCAGCCTCCCATTTGACCGGCCCTCGCCTCCCCTGCAGACGCTGTGCCATTCACGGAGGAAGAGCCAAGACCTTCTTCTCTCGGACACGTGTGTGGTGCGTGCTGGGCGTGCCATAAGCCTCTGTTTGTGTTTGGGTAATTGATATGATCAAAATATTACATATTTTATTTGCGGTGACAAATGTTCAAAGTATCTTTAGTTAAAGTCCGTGCCATATACAGATATATACATATGTATGTATGTATATCTGGTTATATTGAAAAGCCGCTGGCAAACGATAGATATAATTCAAAAGGTTTGAGCCCTGCCCCAAAGGCGTTGACCAAACGAACTGATTGCCGCTGACAGCCGGACAGAGCCGGGCTCGACTGCGTTGGCCAATGCGATTTGTTGCTTGGCTGCACCGCCTCAACGCCCACACATTCCGAAGGGAGGCAATGGCGATGTGATTACATGCAAAATGAAAATACAACAAAACACAAACAGAAGAACTGAAAAAAAAAAAACCAGAATAAAGCGAAGCAATTTTTGCCAGCAGAGCTAGCTTTTGGGTAAAATTACTAGAGTTGAAGCTGCGATGGCAGGAGATAACTAGATGCAAAGCAGCGTTGGCACTGTTAGATAGTGTATGTACAGTTAGCCAGCGGTATCCAATAATACCCGCAATCCCAGCAGCAATTTTGAAAATTTCACTCCCCACGTCCCCGCGACTCCTCGACTCCTCGGCTCCCCGCTGCCTTCTCAATTACATTTCCAGTGATTTGTTTGCTGCACTCCGTCGGCATTTGTGGCTCTGTTGGCACCGCTGACTGGGCTAGCGACTGATGATGGGTCTTCCATTGAGTCGATCTAATTTCTCATGGCGGAATCATCGATTCATCGTTTTGTGTTGCACCGTAAATAACTGCGCTTCAGCCAGAAACTGCCAACCCCGGATACGAATATCAATCGGAATCGGACTCGGAGTCGGACTCGGAGTCGCAGTCGCAGTTGGAGTATGTTGTTCGCCTGCCATCCAGTTGTTGATGTGTCTACCAGCAGCAACTGAAGCTGCCTCTCTTGGCAGCCCCAGCAGC